CAAACACACACACACACACACACACACACACACACGCACGCACGCACGCACGCGCATGCGCGCACATGCAGCGTTCTCTAGTTTCATTTCTGTTGCTGTGATGAAACATACTGACTGACAGCAACTTAGGGTTTATTTTAGCTGACAATCCCAGGCTACATGTGGAGATATGAAACTGGCAGGATTTTGAGGGAACTGGGCACATCCACAGTCAAGAGCAGAGAGAAAAATGAATGCATCATGTCTGCTTGCTTGTTCTCAACTTGATTTCTTCACTCTTAAACCATTCAGGACCCCATGCATAGGGATTGGTGTCACCCACAGTGGGCTGGGTCTTCTCACACCAATTAACTTAATTAAGGCAGTCCTGAATATGTATACCCACAGATTAACCCAATGTAGACAATTCTTCATTGAGACTCTCTTCCTGGGTGACTGATTATAGATTGTGTGTCAACTTGACAATTTAAACTAACTATCACATGGTGGTTGACTCTGAACAAAGTAATTGGGATTGAAAAGAGAAGTGATAATAATTGATTTTCACTCTCCTTCAATATGCTTTATGTTGATTATAAGTTTAAAAAGCAATTCTTAGTCACTGGCTCTTTTCCATGTTGTACTTCTTTTTGAGAATATCACATAAGAGACGGCATGAAAAATGCAAAATATGCAAAATAAATTGGGAAATAGTTTTAAATTTTCTTTTGGAAATATTAATGACTCTGGAGAGATGGCTCAGTGAGTAAGAACTTACTTCCTGCAACCACACGGATCTGAGTTAAAATCCACAGCATCCACTAAAAAGCTGGGCATGAGTAAATATTTCTAACCCCAGCATTGGGGTTGAAGTCAGCCCACCTGAGAGCTTTGTGATCACTCAGTCTAACTTCAGTTGTGAGCTTCTGGTTTAGAAAGACCCCATCTCAAGGCAATAAAGCAGAGAGCAATAGAGGAAGACACCCAATGTCCTATTCTGCTCTTCCTGTGAGCTCAGGTGTACATGCTCCTGCACAATCTCATGCATCTAACACACACACACACACACACACACACACACACACACACACACACACACACACACTTTGCAGGAATCTTAAAAGTTCTTATTGATAAAATCAAACCCGGAGCCAGGTATTGGGGTGAACTGGAAGAATAGAGAACAAACCACAGCTAACCTCACCTGGTCAACTTCTCAGCTGGTCATGTTTCCTCAGACTGGAAGCTTCTGTGTCCTCATCCCAATGGCTCTCAGCTGAACTGCTGCTAGAAGGCTGAAAGCTTAACCAGCCAAATGCCAAATGCTTCTAGTTTCTGGTCCTCACGCCTTATATATCTTTCTGCTTTCTACCACCACTCTCTGGGATTAAAGGCTGGCTTTCTGGGATTAAAGGCGTGTGTCACCATGCTTGGCTGTTTCCAATGTGGCCTTGAACTCACAGAGATCCAGAGGGATTTCTATCTCTGGAATGCTAGGATTAAAGGTGTGAGTGCTACCATTTTCTAACCTTTGTATCTAGTGGCTGTCTGTTCTCTGAGCCCAGATAAATTTATTAGGGTACACAATATTTTGGGGAACACAATACCACCCCCCACAAATACAAAAGAAAGTACTATTAGTAATAGCAAGTAGAAAGTACTATTAGTAATAGCAAATAGAAAGTACTATTACTAGTAGTAATAGTACTATTACAAAGTATGAGTCTCAAGAAAATAATCATTTTAGAATACAAATCCATGCTTCTTCTCAGTCCTTTGCAGATGACAGATCTTACTCTGTCATAGAGAGTTGTTGGAGGATTAGGTAGAACAATACATCTTAAGAGTAGAGTGCCTAGCACAGCACACAATTCAGTATGTTGTTCTTGATAATCTTATAAATAATATGACCTAGGTATTATACTATATGTCTTGGTTAAAAGTTATCTGTGATGCTTATAGTCTGAAATCAGGAGATTGTTGTGTGAATTGATTCCTCTTGCCCTTAATAGTAGCAGAGTAGGATTACAGATAATTGGTAGAGATTCTCAGATCAGGGCTTCCCTGGCATGGTGGTTTGAAAAAAAAAATAGCCTCCAAAAGGAGTGGCACTATTAGGAGGTGTGTGGCCTTGTTGGAGCAGGTGTAGCCTTGTTGGAGGAAGTATGTCATGGTGGGCATGGCCTTTGAGGTCTCCTTTGTTCAAGATACTCCCACTGTCACTTACCACTTCCTGTTGCCTATGAATCAAGATGTAAGGACTCAGTTCCTACTCCAGCACCATATCGCCTGTGTGCCACCATGATGATAATGGACCAAGCTTCTGAAAATGTAAGCCACCCAAGTAAGTGTTTATGAGACTTGCCATGGTCGTGGTGTCTTTTTACAGCAATAGAAACCTTAATTAAGACACCTGCTCAGGGGGAACTGGAGACAGTGGAGATTTATGAAAGCACAACTCACATGACTGATTCTTGGCTCACTATGGAAGAAAGTGAAACCAGAGTCATCCTGATGAAAACCAAGAGTCAAGAATAGGTTATTTATGAATGAAGAGATGAAAAAAGGAAAGGAAGCATGGTCAGAGGATCAGCTTTTGGAATTAGGATTTCCAATGGATTAGATTGAATGCATGAGAGAAGTGAAAGGTGGGGCAGGACTTGTGAGAGTTGATCCTTTCTCAAGAAATCAAACAAAAGTTGTTCCAATTGGGCACTAAGAGGTTGTGGTGCCTTATGTTTGGAAATCTAAAGGACCTTGACAGGGAAGAGGAGAAAAAGATCCAATTTAAAATCTTCAGCTTTTCCCTAGGATAGAACCTGCTGCTATGATTTTGCTAAATGATCATGCTATCAAATTGCCTTCTACATATTTATCCTTATACCAATAAACTTAAGCTGCTCTCAATCTTGGTCAGAGACGTTTCTTTTTGCAGTATGTAGCAGTCAGTGAAAAGATGTATAACCAGTCAAAGTACTGAGAACAAAAGACTAAGTGTTCAGCTCTAAACAAACTCTATAATGATATTGCCTCCCTCCACCCAAGGTTCAGGGAAAATTGTAGTAGAGGAAGTGGAAAGAATGTAAGAGCTGGAGGATGGTAAGGAGTGTTATAAAATAATGTCCTCTGGACAGGGCATGGCTATCATATACATGAAGTTATAATAGCTGTAGCTGCCTACACAAGACCTGCACAATATCAAGCCTGCCAAAATCCCAGAATCAATGAGAAGCTATTGCAAGTGGATAGTTGCTTTTTGTTGTTGTTGTTGAGACCTTGATCATTGGTAGGTTTCTGACTGTCCAGTGCATGGCCCTATACCCATTTACATATGGATAATACTAACTGAACTTAGTGAATTATTTTTAAAAAAAAGACATGAAATTGATAGAGAGGCATGTTGGGGGATATAGGAAAAGTTGAAGTGGGGAAAGGGGTAAAATATTATTATATCTCATTGTATACATGTATGAAAATCTCAAAGATAAAGAAAAAAAAACCTATGACCTTCAAACATAGTATCACAGATCCCAATACTGTGTGGTCTTCAGGTATGGGTTTCAAGGCGGGAGTTTTGAAGTCACATTGGGAAAGTAGTCTGCATGCAGCCATAAGAAATAAGGAGAATGTTATCTGGTGTTCCTGGATATATGAGTCACAGAAGAGAGGTGACTATAGCTCTCCTGAGGACTTTATAATCTGTCTTGAGACTATTTCATCTTCCCAATGTCATTTCTTTTCTTGAGAACCTATCCTGGCCTTGAAGGAACCTGGCAGTCCTTACAGAGCAGACCTTTCTGAAGGAGTCCTTTCAGAAGCCTGGGTAAGGGAAGCATGGAATATATCCCCAAATGACCTTCTTTTCTCAAGATGTAGACTCATTGAAGCTGCTGTTAGTAACTGATTGAGCTGTCAGAGGCAGAGCCACTTAAGTGATGAATCATTCCCTAAGTAATTAGAATGGAATTATTTGTAGGGCAGTGTTAATAATGGCCCTATAA